TTATGTGTATACCACAGTGAGAAGACTTTGCCTAAGGTAGCTGTTTGTTTCAGAATGATGAGAGACAAATAGTATAACTTAACCAAGCACATATGTTGGAGCCAAGCCTACCAGATCCAAAGCAGAGTTGTGTAGCACAGCTCATCCAAGCGCATATGGACTTCAAACTGATGAGAAAGAGGTAATCATGACTGCCCCTTACTGTGTTTTGGAGGTGATTTGTTATAAAGCAATCCTGAAGCAGTAACTGCCTAATAGACAAGTTACTGCAAGGAACAAATGAGATCATTTATGCAAATTTTTTAACAAAGTGTTGGGCATACACTCAATGTTCTGTTCAATAGTTGCTATTATTGTCATTACTATAGCATCATCATCATTAATTTATATGCGAGTTGTGTATTGTGATTCATGAATATCAATGTTAGGTCACCAACAGTGAACAATACTGCAAGGTGGCTTCCACACCATACTTAGTATTGATGATAGATTATGCTTCACCAAGTAGAGTCTGACATCTCATCTATCTTATCTGCTTGTGTCTCATGTTCTTCCTTCACGTATTCTATTTTCTATCTAGTTTGGGATGAAAGAAAGCCTGTTTTCCAAGAATGCATCTAAATATTATGTCTTATGTTTATGCCAGTACTGCTGAACTCCATTTTTGCTTCTTGTGTGTTCTCATTTCTGCAAAGATTCATGTCTAGGTGTGTAGACTAAAGACAGTGGGAAAGAGAGAAGGAAATCTTATAGTGGATAAATCAAGAAAATATATGTAGTAGCAGAAGAGTGGGGATGTATGAACACCCTCAACTAAAATTTATCTTGGTGTGAACTTTGCTTGCTATGTAAACTTTAGTTTCCATTATGGTTAATGTGTAGGATACACTGTTCCAACATATAATACATTGATTAAGAGATTTTTTTCTAAAAATATGAACTTTACATCATTATGTACATAATATCAAATCAATAAATATTTATTAAGCATCTACCAAATATCATGTACTAATTATATGATTACATATATGTTATAAAATTATTTTTTATTGATTCTAAACATGCAGTTGCTTACATTTCAACATCTTGGAGATTAAGATGCACTTCACCACTGATGATGTGTAGTAGTTTATTGTTTTAGTTTTTGCTGTGATTATCAATATTCTGGTAGACTACAATGAAACTCAGTTTTAGTTTTACACTATGTGAGCGCTATGGCTCCCTTATCCTTTGCTATGGATGGCTTAGCTCGGCTTGACTTAGTTTTGCACAACTACACATGTTATTCTGGAACATGGAAGGAAAAGCCACTACCAGGGACTGTTCTGGGAAGGAGTGAACACTGATTCAAAGCTGCCTGGATAGTGCCTTTGTCACATCAGTTCACAGCATATTGGCCAAAGTTGATCAGTATCAGGTTTGCCAATGGAGTGCAGGTGTGTGCTCTACTTATTACAAAGCTGAGAAGGGGCAGCAGGGATCAAAACTGCGAGGAATAACACAATCGACCAAGAAAATGTGTTCCTAACCAATGGCTCCATGCTGGACCTGCCTGAAGTCACCTTGAGCCTGCATACTCCTCAGGAGTGCAGGCCACTTTGGGGGCCTACTGGGATCTTATTATCCTCAGCCCAGCTGGCGACGTTGGCAGGGATGGGCGGTGTGAATGCCAATGGCACTGGGTGCAACCCTCGGGCTGCACAGCAGTGCACTCCAGGAACTTTTGCTTCAATTTGCAGGGAGATTAGGGGATCACAGAGTTGAGGGAGAGCAATGGCCTGTGGATTCATGCCCAGGTGAGGAATTACTGCTGAGGGACATGCCTGGGAAAAAACTACCATAAACGTAGGTAAGGAAGGACTCCAAAAGACAAGTCCACTGTACTTGCAGGTAAATGAGAGGACTGCGAGCTGGTGGTTTGAAGAGGAGAGATCAGAAGACCTTTATGGGTCAGACTGATACACCATCCCACATGGGAGTCTTGAGCTGGGCTTGTTGGCGTAAAACATGGCTAACCACCACATGCCAGCCCATATGAACACTAGGGCCAGGGGCCTGTCTGGCAGGGCCTTGTCGCAGTACATGACAGTGAGTGTTGGAACAGTGGAGGTGTCAAATTTTTATGCTGGGCCAAGACACCAACCAGCATGCAAGAGAACCAGGGCTGACGGTAGATTCTGTACGGGGTATGTGAGCCCAATCTTGTGGAAATACAAGTCTCGCTGGGTAGCTTAAGAGTTGGAGTAGTAGCGGCTGAGCTAGATGTGACCATGGATCTGCCAACTCTCACCAGTGCTGGGGCTGGGAAAAGACTGGCCAGGTACAGGCTGCAGCCCCACATGTGCATCCCAACCAGGGTGAGGAGCAGGCTGAGTTGCTCCATCCAACAGCTCATACAAAGACTGGGATAGAGGGGGCAGGTAATGCCCAATGGGGGCCAGGCACACGCAGGCATGTGTGAGATCTAGGTGTGTGAGTAAACCAAGTGGGGGAACCTGGGAAATTCCCCCATTGTGTCATAACTTCCGCTGGCAAGCACATGGTCCAGGCCTAGGTGTTGGGCAGGCTGGGCAAGGCAGCTGTATCCGTTGGCAGCATGCCGGCTGGTTTTGGAAGGGGGCAGACCAGGCAGGGCCAAGCATATCTTAACCCACTGGCAAGGGCAGAAACCAGGTTGGAGTACAGATCACTCTGGGATAGGCTATCACACCTGCTGATTTGCAAGAGCCAGGGACGGGAGCAGACAGGAGCAGACTGAGCAGGTCCAGATTGCAGCACCCACCAGCAAGAGTTGGGACTGGGGGCTGACTGGCTCAGGTCAGGCTGCAGCATCCAAGGGCAAAGGCCAAGACAGGTGGGGGCTAGGCCAAGCTGGGTCAGAACAACCATTGGCATGTGTAAGATCTGTGACTGGGAACAGGCCTGGTTGGGGAGCTAACCTGGCTGGGTTGTGGTTGTTACTGGCGAGTGTGAGGGCCAGACTGGGGGCTGTGGTCTGGACCGGACATGGCTATAGTCTCCCTTGGCACAAGTGTGAACTGGGTCTGGGTTGTGCCAGACTGGGCTGGACTCCTCCCACTGGAGTTCATGAGAACCAGGATGGGTGTAGGATAGGCTGGGCTAAGTCTCTGTCCCTATGAGCCATACGGGAGCTGTGTCTGGCTGTGGACCAGGCTTGGTTGGGCTGTAACACCTAACATTAAGAATCAGAATGGGTGAAGGCTAGTCAGAAAAGGCCACTGTTGCTGCTAAGATGGAAAGTGGACTAAGTAGGGCTGGCTCATGGACCTACCGGTGTACATGAGATCTGGCATTGGGAGAGATTCTGATGGAGCAGCTTGGCAACTTCTCTGTTGGGACACAGTCCTTGCACGTGAGCGCAAAAACCAAGACAGGAAGCAGCTCAGACCAGGCCAGGGAACAGTACCCATTGGCATACATTTGGCACAGATCTGGGCCAGGCCAGTTTATATCACTCACTGGCAAATCCAAGAACCAGAATGGTATGTGGGTTGGGCTGGTCAGGCCACAATACCAGCCTGCTTACATTAGGGTTGGGACTGGGAGCTGCTTGTCCTGGGCTGGGCTAGGCTGTAGCCCCCAACAACCTGAGCTGGAACTGGGGGCGGCGTCTGATCCAGCCAGGCTACAGCACCCACTGGCAAATGCCGAGCTGAGGTGAGCCATGCCAGACTGAGCCACAGCGCTCAATCAGCGCAGGCACTACCTGGAGGGGAGGGGAGAGGAAACGAACACAGCAGGGGGACTGCATGGCACTCTCCTTCTGGACCACCAGTCCTATTGGTGAGCGTGAGCTGGGATGGAGGTAGACCAGACCGGGCAGGGCTATAACACCTATTGGTCTCATGTGGGCTGGATCAGGGAAAAACTAGACTGGGTTAATTGTTCCTACTGGTGCATGCATAAGCCAGAGTGGGTTTGGGTTGGTTGGGCTTTGCCATAGCATCACCTGACAGATGCTAGCACTGGGGGCTAATTCTGTCACGCCATACTGCAGACCACCTGGTGAGTGCATGATTCAGGAGTGGTAGTAAGCCCATTAGGGAAAGATAATCTGATAGACAATATATTGAAAAAGTGTGGCCTGAAGGCCAAGACAATACTTTTGGACTATGTTCTGACTTTTAGAGATCAATTGTTTGCCGATTTGTCCCAAATCAACAGTTATTATTTCTGTGGGGCAAGAATTTGCGAGCCTGACAGCTTGTCCCTTGGGTAATTTAACTGCAGATACTAGCCAGGGCCACAGGGGTCTGAAGTCTTGACAGGGGCTGAGAGATCTGCTTTCAAATTGTTTATCCACTTGCCTATGGGAGAAGGCTTGGGTCCTGGCTGGCTGTCGGCAGGGGGTTTCAGTTCCTTGCTGCTCACACCTCTGCAGTGGGGTGGCTTGGGTGTCATGATGACAGGTACCTTCCAAGTGATTGACCCGAGGTAGGGGGTGAAAGCCTAATCGCAGATGCTGCCTGCCATTATTCCATTTTATTTCTTGGAAGTGAATCACTAAATATAGCCTTACAGTCAATTAGAGGGAAATCAGGGTCTATCTTCTCAGGACTTAATTTAAAAACTATCACAGTATGATAAAAAGTTGTTTGTTGGAATTTTTCTGTTTTTCTTTAAAGATTTATTTTATTTTTATTGGAAAGTCAGATATATATAGAGAGAGGAGGAGAGACAAAGAGAAAGATATTCTGTTAGTTCACTCCCCAAGTGGCCCTAATGGCTGGAGCTGAGCCAGTCTGAAGCCAGGAGCTCTTCTGGGTCTCCCACATGGGTGCAGAGTTACAAGGCATTGGGCCGTCTTTGTTCCCCAGGACACAAGCAGGGAGCTGGATGGGAAGTGGAACAGCTGGGATTAGAACCAGTGCCCATATGGCATCCTCGGGCATGCAAAGCGAGGACTTTAGCAGCTAGGCTACTGTGTCAAGCCCTGTTTTTTGGTTTGTTTTGTTTTGTTTAGTAGTTTTGTGACTCACTTAGTTCTTATCCACATTGACTGGCTCTAATTTAAAGTATGACAGATACATAGGTAACCAAAAGGTAGAGTTGTCAGGAGAATCTTCATCCTTATTATGTTTTCTGGATAATCTCATGCAGATGCAGTAAGGAATGTTCCTTATTTCTTTGACCCACGTGGCTTTATTGAGTCTGGTGTCTCCATCTCCTTCACGGCAAGCTCCAGATCTCTTTGCGTGCCTGAGGGCTGATCTCTTAAAGCTCACTCTACATATGGACTTGTGAAAGTTGATGGTGGGATCTTGGATCACCACTTTGCTGATGGTAGAACAATCCTTCTTCTTGCCACTCTTCTTTGTGGGAGTCATTTTGGGTCCAAGATGGAAAGGAAGAGAGTGAAGGACTGTCTGCAGGAATTTTTTTTTTTCTCACTATCGTTTATTTATTCCAATTCTGCCACGCCTTGGTGACAAGCAGCGTCCACCACAGCCCCACTGTGGGCTGGTCCTTCATGCAGCTGTGGCTGGGAGCTGGCTGCCCCATGGGGTCTCCACAGGCTGGGGAACCAGGGGCCGCGCACTCCTCCACCGGGCCACCTGCCCTCCTGCAGTCGCGGGGTACACAGGTCAGGTCCTCATCCGAGGGGGACGCCTAGGAGTGCGGCCGGCTTCTGCTTGGACACCGGACTCCATAGCGTCCCGGGGGCGCAGCGAACGCTCCTGGCTGAAGAGCAGGGGACCACGCGTCCATCACCGCCCGCGGCCATGGCCGTCCGAAAGTGCAGGAATGTTTTAAACAAGAGAGTACGTGGTCTGTTTTTCACCTGAGTAGTTGTTTTAGTTGCTTTGTGGAAAGTGCGTTGCATGGGGCAAGAGTGGGAGTGATGAGCCCGGGTAAGTAAATGTCACTCAGACTTGAAAACTGGCAAATGTATCTAAGATTCACAGTGGACAAAGTGCGATTAGAGGGAAGTGGAGGGATTCCGAGTGTGCCTCAGAGGCATACATGAAAGGACATGCTAAAGCAACACCAATTTCATGTTCTTGTGTGCCATATCCTTTTCACATTCTCAACTGCAGTGCTCTTTATAAAAGTAGTTGATCATTAGGGACCTTGGAGAATTTTAAAAATATGGATGAATGATCTTCACTTCCAAAACGAATGGATTTTGTAATCGACTCATTTCTTCACACAACACCCAAATACCATCACCAAGGGCAGATACTACTTTCTGTAAAATAACTATTTAAAAAAAGAGATGTATTTATTTATTTGAAAGGCAGAATGGAGAAAGAGTGAGAGGGAATCTTCCATCTGTTAGTTCAGTTCCCAAATGATCACACATAGACGGAGCGGGGCCATGCTAAAATCAGGAACTTCTGGATCTCACACGTGGTTGTGGAACTCAGGTACTTGGGTGGTCTTCTACTCTTTTCCTAGATGCATTAGCTGGAAGCTGGATCAGGAGTGGAGCAACTGGAAGTCAAACTGATGCCCATATGCACTGGTGGGCTTGGCTTTGAGGCCACCATGGAGAGGCTGAGGAGCCATGCTAAGCAATGGGGTCACTCCTGGACTGTGTGTTGATGAGAGATCTCTACACCATGTACCCCAGGGGCTTTGGGTTTGCCACTCCTCCCTGTGCGGAGGAGGTAGCTGTGATCCTTGAATACACAGCCACACAAGGTGGATGAATGAACTGTGAAGTCACAGAGGGCTGGTGCCCAGCTAACTGCAGAGAGGATCTGAGTTGCAGGCTTTCAACGAGGTACTTCCATGAATCTTCAAATTTTAAAAGAAGGTACTTCAGAGGCTAATTTTGAACCTTGTGGGAAAACTGAAATGACCGATATCATGGCAAGAAGAGGGACTTTGCTTTGGTGACCATGCCTCTGTGGAGAAGATTGTCATCCAGCTCTGCGGTTTGTGCTTCCAGTGCAAAGGCCATGGACAAGATAGTGCCATCGGGGCAGGTGCCTCCACTCACCAGGCTTGGCTGCTACTTGGAGTTGTTCCTCCACGTGGAGTACGGAGTCAAGCCATGCACCTACCTGAGGCCACGCACGAAGGAGAAGAGGAGGGTGGCAGCAGCAGAGAAACAGCAGGACCAGATGAAGCGTATCGTGAGGGAGCTGTTCCAAGCCCAAGAAGACAGCATCCTGAGGTGAGGAGGGGTCACCTGGAGCGCAAGAATGACTAAAGTTCTGACACCCCAAGAAAAAATTGTCATTCAGAAATATCCTGTGAAAGGCCTCAATTGCCAAGTCAGGAGAGCCCCATGGAAGGAGACGGGCAGTTCTTTGTCACACCCCAGGAAGAGGGTTTGGTGGCATCCCAGGTAGTTGTGAGTATGGTAGCATCAGGGATGGGTACAGTGGGTTCAGTAATGATGGAAGCAATTTTGTGGACCATGGAAGATGAAATGGCTTTGATAATCACAACCATGAATCTTCAAATTTTAAGAAGGAGGCTATGAAGGCAGAAGTTCTTATAGTGATGGTGGCCAATATTTGGCCAAACCACAAAATCAGGGTGATTTTGGCAGTTCCATCAGCAGCAGCAGCAGTAGCAACAACAGTGGCAGTTTTTAATGAATGCCAGGAAACAAAGTTAAGCAGGAGAAAACAGCCTCAGAAGTTGACAGCGAAGCCACAGGTTACAACAGATTTGTGAAGTCAGCCAAGCACAGTTGTGGCAAGTCCAGCTGCAGCGAAGACAGTTTAGATAATAATGTGCATGGGTAAAAAGCAAAAGCAAAAAAGATCCCTGAGCCCTGGATTTGCGACTAATAGTCTAACATGTTATCATGGGTTTTATCATATGGAAAATTCAAATCATTGCAACAATGGGATTTAATGAAGATATTTTTCCTCTGCTGTTTTTGGGTATGTGTGGGGGGTGGAAATCCATGTTCTTGATTGCTAATTATAATATTCTGATCATAATGTTGAGTAAGTGTGTCTTTAAAAAGCAGTGTTTCAGAGGACAGCACTGTGGTGTAGCAGCTGTACCTGCATTGAATACATTCCATGTGGGTGCCAGTTTGAGTCCTGGCTATGCTACTTCCAACCCAGCTCCCTTTTAATTTACCTGGAAAAGCAGATGCAGATGGTCTAATACCTCTGGCCCCTGTACCCACCTAGGAGATACTGGAGAAGCTCCTGGCTCCTGGGTTTGGCGTGACTCAGCTCCAGCTGTCACAGTCATTGTGGGGTAGACCAGTGGTTGAAAGATCTCTCTCTCTCTTCCTCTCTCTTTTTCTCCATAATTCTGTCTTTCAAATAAAATAAATATATCTTTTTAAAACTTTCAGAGACCAGACCTGAAATATAAAGGTTCATGAATTTTTTTAGAGGCTCATCACAGCTAGTTAGAGATTTCAGTTACAGGAACATTTGATTCCTTAAACATCCTAATTAATTGATGTTTAGCATATGGGTTACCAAATTTGAGTTTCAAAGTTTGCATTTAAAGATTGCAAATACATCTATTAGGATGAATTTCTAGGTCAGTCAGGATTTGATTTGCAGTATTTAATGTTTGCATAACTCGACCTTTGCCTGACCTGTCAAAATGATTTTACAGACCTGCATTTACTTTCTTAATGGAATGATTTGCCACAGAGTTAGCTGCTATGGGTTGTCTGGAAAGTCATTGCAATACTCTCTTGGGTCCTTACCTATAGGGAGAATTCCTCACTGAATAGCATATCGTTGGGATTCTAGAACTTTCCTTCTACAGTGGAAGCCAACTGAGTTCCATTCTTGATCTCCCCAGCATGTGGTGGCAGATCCTGACAACTGGCAATTGCCCCTCCCACCCATTCCCATGAACCCCAGGCAATGCAGGCAGTTCAGCAGCAGGGTTGCCTGATGGGTAGCAGTGGTGACGCGGGGCTATAGAAGCAGAGAAGTTAATAACTTGGAAAGCCTGTTCCTGGGATCTGTTCTCCTGAGGTTCTGGGCTCCTTTCTGCCTCTCCAGCCTGTTCTCCTAGCTGCCAGGGCTCTATGAGCACCCCTACCCCTTTCTTTCTTCCTTTTAAAGGATTTTTTAAATTGAGCCCACATTGCTCGCAAGGATTCTGCTAACAGACTAACTTCTCTCACTATTGTTCTCCCCTCCAAACCACTTTGGTGTGGGTCCCATATATACTTACACATGTTGTGTACTTTTCTATAGAAGTCCCTCAGCTGAAATTCCTAACCTGGCCATAAAAACCAAAGGTCATCTTTCACTGCCACCTGTGCGATCCCATCATCTCCCTGTAAATCAGGACCCTCTAAATACAGACACCCCTGCGGGTCAAAAAACCTGGCTTCCAGGACTGGGTGGTCCCAAAAGGCTGCTGAGCCTCCCTCCCCCAAGAGAGCCAGTATGCTCGGCTGCACATGAAAAGGCAGATACACAGAGAGAAGGAGATACAGAGAGGAAGATATTCCATTTGCAAGGTCATTCCCAAAGTGGCTGCAACAGCCAATCCAAAGCCAGGAGCCAGGAGCTTCCTCTGGGTCACCTGCTTGCATGCAAGGTCTCAAGGCTTTGGGCCATCCTCTACTGCTTTCCCAGGCCACAAGCAGGAAGCTGGATGGGAAATGGAGCAGCTGAGTTAGGAACCAGCAGTGCCCTTATGGGATTCAGGAACATGGAAGGTGAGGATTTAGCCATTAGGTTATTGCACCCCGCCACCCCTTTCAATGTCTTATTTCATTCCTTGGTTAGAGATCACCACTGCTGCTTCTAGGTAAAACTCCTGGTGGAGACCTTCAGTATTTCAAGAGAACCGAGAGGCCAGACTCTGAAGTCAAGTGGTTTGGCCTCTCCCCGTCCCGGTACTGTCATGCAAAATGCTTCATCCCTGTAACAGTCCACTTTCTCTAATGCTGGTCACCATATCTTAGAGCTGCTGGGAGGACTGAATAAAATAATCTCTACAAAGTATTTAGCACAGTCTCTGGGAGCATAAAGAAACATTCGAGAAAGATGAGCTTTCTGGATTAACATTCCAAGTGACTTGTCCATGTGTTCAGGCCACAAAACTACCACTCGCAACAGAAGTGAGCCCCAGTGTGTGCAGTACCTTATTTCCTTCCCCCCCTCCCCCCAGATTGGGTTTTTCTTTTGTTTTGCCTTGTTTCCCAGCTTAGGACTTTAGCTTCTCCCCTTACTGTCTACCCTGAGCTTTTCTTCTGGGTTGCAGCCTCTGACCACAGCACATGGATTTTCTCTGTCCTGACAGTTCATTCTCCCTCACCTGGAGGCCTCCAAAAAGAGACTAGCTGCAGGTGGCCAGGATAGAGCTGGCAGAAGCCAGAGTCCTTCGTCAGCAGCTGAGATACAGAGTTCACAGCTTTAATGCATTTTTTTTT